AAAGACGGCACTGCTAAACAATGTGAGCGAGGAGATTAAAGATGAACTGATGGTGCGTGAGTTACCCTCCTCTTTAGGTGCGATCATGTCCCTATGCATCCGAATAGACGATCGCCTGCGTGCACGGCGAAGCGCGCAACGTCGCTTCGCTCAGCCTCGGCCACCGAGAGATGCCTCACCGGGGCCTGGAGCGGCACGCGAGCACGGCGAGGTTGAGGAGGAGGAGCAGCCCATGCAACTTGGACGTTCGCAGCTTTCGCCCGCAGAACGTCAACGGCGTATGGCCGCCGGTGAGTGTCTATATTGCGGCCGTCAGGGCCATTTTGCCTCTTCCTGCCGCGCACGGGCAAAAGGGCGCGCTCGCCAGTAGTTGAGAGAATACTGGTGGGCGATATAACTACTAAAAGTTCTCTCCCCCGGCTTATGTTACCTGCAAAACTCACCATTAAGAATGTTACCCACTCTCTTCAAGCTCTAGTGGATTCAGGTGCTGAGCAGAGTTTCATTGACGCAGCTCTGGCGAAAAAGCTAAACGTCACACTACACGCCCTACCCGATCCGCTTGCTGTCACAGCCCTGTCTGGGCAACGCTTGTCGGACATAACCCAAATCACAGAACCCCTGTCTGTTACTCTCTCGGGTAACCACTCAGAGCGCATCGAGCTTTTTGTGTTTCAAGCACCGCGCACCCCCCTTGTATTGGGTTATCCATGGCTGCTCCAACACAATCCGCACATCGATTGGAAGAAAGAGAGAGTAACCGGGTGGAGCATCGACTGCTACATGAACTGTCTCCAAGCTGCACCCGCTCCTACCACATCTCCAGGGCCTGACCAGCCGGTCGAGCCTCCGGAATTGACCTCGGTTCCGCGTGTTTATCATGATTTGGCTGAAGTGTTTAGTAAAGATGGGGCGCGTTCACTCCCCCCTCATAGGCCGTATGACTGTGCGATTGATCTCCTGCCTGGGGCTCCGCTTCCCTCTGGTCGTTTGTACAGCATTTCTCAGCCAGAGAGGGAGTCTATGGAGAATTACATTGCTGACTCTCTCGCTGCGGGCATCATTCGGCCGTCGTCCTCCCCGGTGGGAGCGGGGTTTTTCTTTGTTGCTAAGAAAGATAAGACCCTTCGCCCCTGTATCGACTACCGCGGGCTTAACAAAATCACTGTTCGTAACAAGTATCCTCTGCCCCTTCTTTCTTCTGCTTTTGAGTTACTTCAGGGTGCCACGATCTTCAGTAAGTTGGACTTGCGCAACGCCTACCATCTGGTGAGAATCCGTGAAGGGGATGAGTGGAAAACGGCCTTCAATACTCACCTAGGCCATTTCGAGTACCTTGTGATGCCATTCGGCCTGACCAATGCCCCAGCCGTGTTCCAGGCTCTTGTTAACGATGTTCTCAGAGACTTTATTAACCGATGTGCTTTTGTCTACTTAGATGACATTCTCATCTTCTCCAAATCTAAAGCGGAACATGAGGTCCATGTAAGGCAGATCCTGCAGCGCCTGCTGGAGAACAGGCTCTTTGTTAAAGGAGAGAAATGTGACTTCCACATGGATTCAGTGGCGTTTCTGGGCTACATCATCACCAGAGGGGACTTGAAACCTGACCCGGCAAAAGTTCAGGCAGTGTTGGACTGGCCCAGACCACCCGATCGCCGACAGCTTCAGCGCTTTCTGGGGTTTGCTAACTTCTACAGGCGTTTCATCAGGGATTTTAGTAAAATTGCTCTGCCTCTCTCTAGGTTAACATCACCCAAGGTGCCATTCCACTGGGACCAGCTGGCTCAGGAAGCCTTCTCTCGCCTCAAGGAACGGTTCGCCACCGCCCCGATCCTCCGCCAGCCTGACCTCTCCCTGCAGTTCGTTGTGGAGGTGGATGCATCGGAGTCTGGAGTAGGGGCCGTGCTCTCCCAACGGTTCGAGGGTAAGCTCCACCCCTGTGCTTTTTACTCTCGTCGTCTTTCCCCAGCTGAGAGGAATTATGACATCGGAGACCGCGAACTCCTGGCCGTAAAGCTGGCTCTGGAGCAGTGGAGGCACTGGCTGGAGGGAGCTGCACAGCCGTTCATTGTATGGACCGATCATAAAAATCTCGAATACATCCGCTCGGCGAAACGGCTCAACTCACGGCAGGCCAGGTGGGCTTTGTTTTTCACCCGGTTTAATTTCACCATCACTTACAGGCCAGGCTCCCGTAACGTTAAACCGGACGCTCTTTCCCGGCAATATGCCCCAGTCGGAGAGGAGTCCGACCCTGGATCTGTTCTGCCTACTTCCTGCGTTATTGGGGCAGTTACGTGGGAGATCGAAGAGCTCATCCGGGAGGCACAAGAAACCGACCCTGATCCTGGCACGGGCCCCCCTGATCGACTCTTTGTTCCGGCGGCTGTCCGGTCCCGGGTGCTCCAGTGGGCTCACACGGCCCGTTTTTCCTGCCATCCGGGTGTTAACCGCACCACTGCCTTCCTGCGCAGGTATTTCTGGTGGCCCGCCCTCATTAAAGACTCACGGGAGTACGTCACCGCCTGCACCACTTGTGCTCGAAATAAGCACTCCAATCAACATCCGTCTGGACGCCTGCAGCCACTCTCCACACCCAGCCGACCCTGGTCCCACATCTCTCTGGATTTCATCACTGGTCTGCCACCGTCTGCAGGTAACACCACAATATTGACCGTTGTTGACAGATTCTCCAAAGCTGCCCATTTCATTGCGCTTCCTAAGCTCCCCACAGCCTTGGAGACTGCCCGACTCCTCACCACGCACGTTTTTCGGCTCCATGGCATCCCTGAGGACGTGGTCTCGGACCGGGGCCCTCAGTTCACGTCGCGGGTGTGGAGGGAGTTCTGCTCTGCCATAGGAGCCACGGTGAGCCTCTCATCTGGCTATCACCCGCAAAGCAACGGCCAAACAGAGCGCATCAACCAAGAATTGGAGGCCGCCCTCCGCTGTGTCGCCTCTCATAACCAGGCCATCTGGAGCGAACACCTGCCGTGGATAGAGTATGCTCACAACAGTCACACATCCTCGGCTACCGGCGTGTCACCCTTCGAGGCGTCTCTGGGATACCAACCACCTCTGTTTCCCATGGTTGAAGGTGAGCATGCTGTCCCATCTGTCCAACATCACCTCCGCAGGTGTCGCAGGGCCTGGCGGGCCACTCGGACGGCGTTACTCCGGACGAAGGAACGGAATAAGGAACTCGCGGATCGCCACCGGACGGCCGCCCCTGAGTATGTGGTGGGGCAGAAGGTATGGCTCTCCACTCGCTTTGTGCCCTTACGTGCCGAATCCAGGAAGCTCACCCCCAACTTCATCGGCCCGTTTGAAGTCCGTGCTGTGATCAACCCTGCGTCCGTCCGCTTGGCGCTGCCACGCAATATGCGTATTCATGATGTGTTCCATGTCTCTCAGGTCAAGCCGGTGGTCTCCAGCCCGTTGTGCCCTCCTTCCAGGCCCCCGCCGCCCCCCCGGCTCGTTGGTGGCCAGCTGGTCTACGCTGTCTCGCGCATCTTGGACTCCCGCCGCCGGGGTCGGGGTTTTCAGTACCTGGTTGACTGGGAGGGCTACGGGCCAGAGGAACGTTCCTGGGTGCCCCGGTCGGCTGTCGTGGGTAGGGCCCTGCTCCGGGACTTCCACCGCCTGCACCCGGGTAAGCCTGGTGGGTCGCCGGGGGGCTCCCGTTGAGGGGGGGGTACTGTCATGGTCCCTGTGCCTCCCCGGCCAGCCCAGTGTGGCCACAAGTGTTTGTTGTTTTTCTCTCGCTCTGTCTCTCCTACCTGTCTGCTTGGGCGGAGCTCTGATTGGACTCCTGCCCTTGGCCCACGCACCTGCAGCTGATCTCGAGCGAATTGCAGTTCTCTGGCTCTTAAGGCTGGGGCTCTGAGCTATTCGTCGCTGGAATATTGAATAACTCTCGTTTGACTGGATCAGCCCTTTTGTGACCCCTGGACCCCGTGAGTAGGAGAGTGAGCTGAGCTGCTTGTGTGGAGACTGTTTGGACGAGGAGCAGAGCGAGTGCGAAGAAGTGTGTCTCCCCAGCCTACTGATCCCCGGGACCCTGGTGTTTCCCCCCCCCTTCACGTGTATATAGTGCACCGGTGTGATTAATAAAGTGTCGTTGAGCTGTGCTACCTCAGTCTGCGCTGAGTCCGTCCACCGCCGTGACACTATATTTGTTTCGGTCGAGTTCCCCATTCAAATGCATGTAACAGTGAGAAACGCACTGTCTTGGCGAAAGAAAGCGTTTTTGTACAACTTCATATAAATAGCTGTAACTTTTGATAGGAGACTCGGATACACATGTTTATGGCTTTATCTTATAGAACTCAAGGTCCTCGTGCTGGGAAAACAGGTTTTGCAGCTGTTTGAGCTAAGATTTCCAAGTTATTCACATAATGAAAACCTATACTTTGTTTCGGTCGAGTTCCCCATTCAAATGCATGTAACAGTGAGAAACGCACTGTCTTGGCGAAAGAAAGCGTTTTTGTACAACTTCATATAAATCAATGTAACTTTTGATAGGAGACTCGGATACACATGTTTATGGCTTCATCTTATAGAACTCAAGGTCCTCGTGCTGGGAAAACAGGTTTTGCAGCTGTTTGAGCTAAGATTTCCAAGTTATTCACATAATGAAAACCTATACTTTGTTTCGGTCGAGTTCCCCATTCAAATGCATGTAACAGTGAGAAACGCACTGTCTTGGCGAAAGAAAGCGTTTTTGTACAACTTCATATAAATCAATGTAACTTTTGATAGGAGACTCGGATACACATGTTTATGGCTTTATCTTATAGAACTCAAGGTCCTCGTGCTGGGAAAACAGGTTTTGCAGCTGTTTGAGCTAAGATTTCCAAGTTATTCACATAATGAAAACCTATACTTTGTTTCGGTCGAGTTCCCCATTCAAATGCATGTAACAGTGAGAAACGCACTGTCTTGGCGAAAGAAAGCGTTTTTGTACAACTTCATATAAATAGCTGTAACTTTTGATAGAAGACTCGGATACACATGTTTATGGCTTTATCTTATAGAACTCAAGGTCCTCGTGCTGGGAAAACAGGTTTTGCAGCTGTTTGAGCTAAGATTTCCAAGTTATTCACATAATGAAAACCTATACTTTGTTTCGGTCGAGTTCCCCATTCAAATGCATGTAACAGTGAGAAACGCACTGTCTTGGCGAAAGAAAGCGTTTTTGTACAACTTCATATAAATAGCTGTAACTTTTGATAGAAGACTCAGGCAAACATGTTTATGGCTTTATTTTAAAGAACTCAAGGTCCCCGTGCTGGGAAAACAGGTTTTGCAGCTGTTTGAGCTAAGATTTCCAAGTTATTCACATAATGAAAACCTATACTTTGTTTCGGTCGAGTTCCCCATTCAAATGCATGTAACAGTGAGAAACGCACTGTCTTGGCGAAAGAAAGCGTTTTTGTACAACTTCATATAAATCAATGTAACTTTTGATAGGAGACTCGGATACACATGTTTATGGCTTTATCTTATAGAACTCAAGGTCCTCGTGCTGGGAAAACAGGTTTTGCAGCTGTTTGAGCTAAGATTTCCAAGTTATTCACATAATGAAAACCTATACTTTGTTTCGGTCGAGTTCCCCATTCAAATGCATGTAACAGTGAGAAACGCACTGTCTTGGCGAAAGAAAGCGTTTTTGTACAACTTCATATAAATCAATGTAACTTTTGATAGGAGACTCGGATACACATGTTTATGGCTTTATCTTATAGAACTCAAGGTCCTCGTGCTGGGAAAACAGGTTTTGCAGCTGTTTGAGCTAAGATTTCCAAGTTATTCACATAATGAAAACCTATACTTTGTTTCGGTCGAGTTCCCCATTCAAATGCATGTAACAGTGAGAAACGCACTGTCTTGGCGAAAGAAAGCGTTTTTGTACAACTTCATATAAATAGCTGTAACTTTTGATAGAAGACTCGGATACACATGTTTATGGCTTTATCTTATAGAACTCAAGGTCCCCGTGCTGGGAAAACAGGTTTTGCAGCTGTTTGAGCTAAGATTTCCAAGTTATTCACATAATGAAAACCTATACTTTGTTTCGGTCGAGTTCCCCATTCAAATGCATGTAACAGTGAGAAACGCACTGTCTTGGCGAAAGAAAGCGTTTTTGTACAACTTCATATAAATAGCTGTAACTTTTGATAGAAGACTCGGATACACATGTTTATGGCTTTATCTTATAGAACTCAAGGTCCTCGTGCTGGGAAAACAGGTTTTGCAGCTGTTTGAGCTAAGATTTCCAAGTTATTCACATAATGAAAACCTATACTTTGTTTCGGTCGAGTTCCCCATTCAAATGCATGTAACAGTGAGAAACGCACTGTCTTGGCGAAAGAAAGCGTTTTTGTACAACTTCATATAAATCAATGTAACTTTTGATAGGAGACTCGGATACACATGTTTATGGCTTTATCTTATAGAACTCAAGGTCCTCGTGCTGGGAAAACAGGTTTTGCAGCTGTTTGAGCTAAGATTTCCAAGTTATTCACATAATGAAAACCTATACTTTGTTTCGGTCGAGTTCCCCATTCAAATGCATGTAACAGTGAGAAACGCACTGTCTTGGCGAAAGAAAGCGTTTTTGTACAACTTCATATAAATAGCTGTAACTTTTGATAGGAGACTCGGAGACACATGTTCATGGCTTTATCTTATAGAACTCAAGGTCCTCGTGCTGGGAAAACAGGTTTTGCAGCTGTTTGAGCTAAGATTTCCAAGTTATTCACATAATGAAAACCTATACTTTGTTTCGGTCGAGTTCCCCATTCAAATGCATGTAACAGTGAGAAACGCACTGTCTTGGCGAAAGAAAGCGTTTTTGTACAACTTCATATAAATAGCTGTAACTTTTGATAGGAGACTCGGATACACATGTTTATGGCTTTATCTTATAGAACTCAAGGTCCTCGTGCTGGGAAAACAGGTTTTGCAGCTGTTTGAGCTAAGATTTCCAAGTTATTCACATAATGAAAACCTATACTTTGTTTCGGTCGAGTTCCCCATTCAAATGCATGTAACAGTGAGAAACGCACTGTCTTGGCGAAAGAAAGCGTTTTTGTACAACTTCATATAAATAGCTGTAACTTTTGATAGGAGACTCGGATACACATGTTTATGGCTTTATCTTATAGAACTCAAGGTCCCTGTGCTGGGAAAACAGGTTTTGCAGCTGTTTGAGCTAAGATTTCCAAGTTATTCACATAATGAAAACCTATACTTTGTTTCGGTCGAGTTCCCCATTCAAATGCATGTAACAGTGAGAAACGCACTGTCTTGGCGAAAGAAAGCGTTTTTGTACAACTTCATATAAATCAATGTAACTTTTGATAGGAGACTCGGATACACATGTTTATGGCTTTATCTTATAGAACTCAAGGTCCTCGTGCTGGGAAAACAGGTTTTGCAGCTGTTTGAGCTAAGATTTCCAAGTTATTCACATAATGAAAACCTATACTTTGTTTCGGTCGAGTTCCCCATTCAAATGCATGTAACAGTGAGAAACGCACTGTCTTGGCGAAAGAAAGCGTTTTTGTACAACTTCATATAAATAGCTGTAACTTTTGATAGAGACTCGGATACACATGTTTATGGCTTTATCTTATAGAACTCAAGGTCCCGTGCTGGGAAAACAGGTTTTGCAGCTGTTTGAGCTAAGATTTCCAAGTTATTCACATAATGAAAACCTATACTTTGTTTCGGTCGAGTTCCCCATTCAAATGCATGTAACAGTGAGAAACGCACTGTCTTGGCGAAAGAAAGCGTTTTTGTACAACTTCATATAAATAGCTGTAACTTTTGATAGGAGACTCGGAGACACATGTTCATGGCTTTATCTTATAGAACTCAAGGTCCTCGTGCTGGGAAAACAGGTTTTGCAGCTGTTTGAGCTAAGATTTCCAAGTTATTCACATAATGAAAACCTATACTTTGTTTCGGTCGAGTTCCCCATTCAAATGCATGTAACAGTGAGAAACGCACTGTCTTGGCGAAAGAAAGCGTTTTTGTACAACTTCATATAAATCAATGTAACTTTTGATAGGAGACTCGGATACACATGTTTATGGCTTTATCTTATAGAACTCAAGGTCCTCGTGCTGGGAAAACAGGTTTTGCAGCTGTTTGAGCTAAGATTTCCAAGTTATTCACATAATGAAAACCTATACTTTGTTTCGGTCGAGTTCCCCATTCAAATGCATGTAACAGTGAGAAACGCACTGTCTTGGCGAAAGAAAGCGTTTTTGTACAACTTCATATAAATAGCTGTAACTTTTGATAGAAGACTCGGATACACATGTTTATGGCTTTATCTTATAGAACTCAAGGTCCTCGTGCTGGGAAAACAGGTTTTGCAGCTGTTTGAGCTAAGATTTCCAAGTTATTCACATAATGAAAACCTATACTTTGTTTCGGTCGAGTTCCCCATTCAAATGCATGTAACAGTGAGAAACGCACTGTCTTGGCGAAAGAAAGCGTTTTTGTACAACTTCATATAAATAGCTGTAACTTTTGATAGGAGACTCGGAGACACATGTTCATGGCTTTATCTTATAGAACTCAAGGTCCTCGTGCTGGGAAAACAGGTTTTGCAGCTGTTTGAGCTAAGATTTCCAAGTTATTCACATAATGAAAACCTATACTTTGTTTCGGTCGAGTTCCCCATTCAAATGCATGTAACAGTGAGAAACGCACTGTCTTGGCGAAAGAAAGCGTTTTTGTACAACTTCATATAAATAGCTGTAACTTTTGATAGGAGACTCGGAGACACATGTTCATGGCTTTATCTTATAGAACTCAAGGTCCTCGTGCTGGGAAAACAGGTTTTGCAGCTGTTTGAGCTAAGATTTCCAAGTTATTCACATAATGAAAACCTATACTTTGTTTCGGTCGAGTTCCCCATTCAAATGCATGTAACAGTGAGAAACGCACTGTCTTGGCGAAAGAAAGCGTTTTTGTACAACTTCATATAAATCAATGTAACTTTTGATAGGAGACTCGGATACACATGTTTATGGCTTTATCTTATAGAACTCAAGGTCCTCGTGCTGGGAAAACAGGTTTTGCAGCTGTTTGAGCTAAGATTTCCAAGTTATTCACATAATGAAAACCTATACTTTGTTTCGGTCGAGTTCCCCATTCAAATGCATGTAACAGTGAGAAACGCACTGTCTTGGCGAAAGAAAGCGTTTTTGTACAACTTCATATAAATATGTAACTTTTGATAGGAGACTCGGATACACATGTTTATGGCTTTATCTTATAGAACTCAAGGTCCTCGTGCTGGGAAAACAGGTTTTGCAGCTGTTTGAGCTAAGATTTCCAAGTTATTCACATAATGAAAACCTATACTTTGTTTCGGTCGAGTTCCCCATTCAAATGCATGTAACAGTGAGAAACGCACTGTCTTGGCGAAAGAAAGCGTTTTTGTACAACTTCATATAAATCAATGTAACTTTTGATAGGAGACTCGGATACACATGTTTATGGCTTCATCTTATAGAACTCAAGGTCCTCGTGCTGGGAAAACAGGTTTTGCAGCTGTTTGAGCTAAGATTTCCAAGTTATTCACATAATGAAAACCTATACTTTGTTTCGGTCGAGTTCCCCATTCAAATGCATGTAACAGTGAGAAACGCACTGTCTTGGCGAAAGAAAGCGTTTTTGTACAACTTCATATAAATAGCTGTAACTTTTGATAGAAGACTCGGATACACATGTTTATGGCTTTATCTTATAGAACTCAAGGTCCCCGTGCTGGGAAAACAGGTTTTGCAGCTGTTTGAGCTAAGATTTCCAAGTTATTCACATAATGAAAACCTATACTTTGTTTCGGTCGAGTTCCCCATTCAAATGCATGTAACAGTGAGAAACGCACTGTCTTGGCGAAAGAAAGCGTTTTTGTACAACTTCATATAAATAGCTGTAACTTTTGATAGAAGACTCACACAAACATGTTTATGGCTTTATCTTAAAGAACTCAAGGTCCCCGTGCTGGGAAAACAGGTTTTGCAGCTGTTTGAGCTAAGATTTCCAAGTTATTCACATAATGAAAACCTATACTTTGTTTCGGTCGAGTTCCCCATTCAAATGCATGTAACAGTGAGAAACGCACTGTCTTGGCGAAAGAAAGCGTTTTTGTACAACTTCATATAAATAGCTGTAACTTTTGATAGAAGACTCGGATACACATGTTTATGGCTTTATCTTAAAGAACTCAAGGTCCCCGTGCTGGGAAAACAGGTTTTGCAGCTGTTTGAGCTAAGATTTCCAAGTTATTCACATAATGAAAACCTATACTTTGTTTCGGTCGAGTTCCCCATTCAAATGCATGTAACAGTGAGAAACGCACTGTCTTGGCGAAAGAAAGCGTTTTTGTACAACTTCATATAAATAGCTGTAACTTTTGATAGAAGACTCGGATACACATGTTTATGGCTTTATCTTATAGAACTCAAGGTCCCCGTGCTGGGAAAACAGGTTTTGCAGCTGTTTGAGCTAAGATTTCCAAGTTATTCACATAATGAAAACCTATACTTTGTTTCGGTCGAGTTCCCCATTCAAATGCATGTAACAGTGAGAAACGCACTGTCTTGGCGAAAGAAAGCGTTTTTGTACAACTTCATATAAATAGCTGTAACTTTTGATAGAAGACTCGGATACACATGTTTATGGCTTTATCTTAAAGAACTCAAGGTCCCCGTGCTGGGAAAACAGGTTTTGCAGCTGTTTGAGC